AAGAAAAAGGAGATTGCTCAGCCCCAACAGGAGCAGCTTCCTCTCCCTCCTCCTCCTCTTTGGGGCTCACCCGGCCGAACACTCGCCCGGCTTTGCTGCGGATCAGCTCCAGACTGTCGGGGTTCTTCTTCTGAGGCATCAGGCTGCTGCCAGTGCTGGGAGGGACAGGAGTGCACTGGTGAGCAAAACCCTCAGGCTGAAATCCCTGTTCCTGCCCTCTGAAAGGAACCTCTAAATCCCCTTTCCTTGTACTTCAGTCAAGGGTGTAGGACATCAGTGAACTGAGGGTGCTGAGCTTCTCATGTTTCCCACAGCAAAGCCTTTGGTTTGCACCTTGTCTGGAGCTCCCACACTGTCCCACCTCTCACAAGGAAAGGAGAAGGAGGCTCCCCCTCCAAGCCACTGCAAAGGTGGTGTCAGCAAGCCAGGCTAAGCGATCTCAGGGAGGGAGGGCTGTGGCTGTGCCACCCTGCAGACAAGGAGTCTGTTGGGATTGCAAACCCAGCCAGGCAAGAAAGGGCTCTGGCAGCATTCCCAGCACAGGAGGAAGTTCTCTCTGCCAGCAGGTCCTGGACAGGAGTTGCTGGTGAATGCAAACTTGGTTAAGTTACCAGAATGACAAATAAGTGCCCATTGCTGAGGAATATTCACCCTGGGGCTGCCTTTGTGCCAGGCTCTTGGTGCTGGGTCAGCCTCATGCACAGACAGAGCCCAAGCACTGCCTCACCCAGCGTGGGCAGCTCAGGAGAATCCCTCACCAGAGACCAAAAACCTACCAGTAGGTATCAGAGAGGGTCAGGAAGCCAAACTCGCTGGTGCTGTAGATGATGAGATCCTCGGCCATCTTGCTCAGGTGGATCATCAGCAGGGTGGCAGCAGAGAGGAATTCCACTGCAGGGAAGGCAGGAGATCAGGAGGGGAAAAGGTGCTTGGACAACCCAGAGATCTCTAATTGGGGCTTTACTTCCTACATTTCAGTCCTTTATTAAGGAAAGGAGCTGGAAAGGTGTCAGGAGCTGCCTCCCCCCGTGCTGGAAGCTTTGGCTGTGCTTACCCACAAAGTCCCTCTCGCTGACGGCATCCATGCTGTTCAGGCTGATGGAAGCAAAGTCCAGCTCTGCAAGGAAGGGGATGGACACAGGAGCTCACACTGGCCCTGGCAGGAGCCTGAATGCCCCAGGCTGCCCCACAGGAGGTGACTGTGAGCCCTGGAGCAGTTCCAGCAACACAAACACATTTAGTGGGGTTTTGTTATGATCCCAGACAGGCAGAGTGCAGCAGGGGCTGCTCTTCCTCCCACCTCCCTGGCACTGCCTGTCTCTGCAGCACAAATCCTGGCAAATGAAAGGCTCTGGCTCCAGGATGGGGCACTGTGGTGCCATTCCCTCCCTCCCAGCTGTGCCAGGCACTCCCATGCCCCTCAGGCCCAGGATGACATTTACCACTGCGCAGCAGCTCTCTGTCGATTTCCAGGGGGTTTCCAGCCAGGGCTCCACTGCAAGGGGAGAAAGAACCAGAAATCAAGCAATTCTCCTTTCCTATCCATGCAAAGCTGAGCTCTGGGAAGCAGGGAAGGCACCCCTGAAGTCTTTGCAGAGCAAAGCAAGGCCAAGTGATCACACAAACAGTAGATCTTACCTTCCCAAAGGCAAGACATTGATCCTCTTTTTTATCTCTCCCAGGCGCTCAGAGTCACGGGTCAGAGCAACAGCATGGCTGGGGAAGGACAGGGGGGAGAGAGCACGTGAGGCAGGGAATGGCTCTGTCCTCTCCAGCCATCATCCCGCCATGCCTGGAGCCTGGGATCCCCCTCATGAGGAGCCTGGACAGAGCCAGGGGACACAGGGAGTTCCTGTTCCAGCCTGCAGAGCTCCTCTGGGTTGTCAGCAGCCCTCAGGGTGGGGAGGGTGGGAGGAGCTCACCTGAGCAGGAACTGGCTCCATCGGATGGGCTGAGCTTTCTGCAGGTGGGTGTAGCCAGGCAGGATCACATCGATTTCTCTGGGAGGGGAAGGACAGAGAGGTGAGCAGCAGGGACAGGGACACAGCAGAGCTCCTGGTAAGGTCACAAACTGAGCATCTTTAGCCTGTGTTGTGCTTTAGCTGCTCCTTCAAACCAGGCATACTGGGTTTAGGTATTCCATAATGGTTAATCCACCCTGGGCCTCCTGGAAAGTTGCCTGGAGCAGCAACTCCTCTGGGCAAGGATTCCCCAGCCCACCCCAGGTCTGGAGTGTGAGGAGCAGAGCCAGACAGGGAGCTAACACAGCTGAGCTTTTTCTCCTACAGAATCCTTTTTTCCACTCCTTCAGATGGGTTTGGTGCCTTGCAAAATCTTGTGTGGAGCTCCCACCTCAACTCCTTTGCCAGGCATGAAGGAAAGTTTCTCTGAGGGATGAGGAAAGTTTCTGTGAGGTGAACTCTAGAGAAAATGGGGCTGCTGTGTCCCCTGGGCTACCCCAACGTGCCTGGCTGGAACTCCCTGCACAGGACACCCTGCTGCTGCCCAGTGGGGTCAGACAAAGGACAAACCAAAGTCTCCTGCCCCCAAAAAAGCCAAAGTTATGGAAAACAGGGACTGAGGGAAAGGACTCACATGGCAGCACGTTCCACCAGGGTCTTAATGAGCTGCAGGAGGTGNAGTTACCAGAATGACAAATAAGTGCCCATTGCTGAGGAATATTCACCCTGGGGCTGCCTTTGTGCCAGGCTCTTGGTGCTGGGTCAGCCTGGTGCACAGACAGAGCCCAGCACTGCCTCACCCAGCGTGGGCAGCTCAGGAGAGGCTGAGGGAGGAGCTCCCTGCCCAGAGCTGGGACCCACCTGTAGGCATCAGAGAGGGTCAGGAAGCCAAACTCGCTGGTGCTGTAGATGATGAGATCCTCGGCCATCTTGCTCAGGTGGATCATCAGCAGGGTGGCAGCAGAGAGGAATTCCACTGCAGGGAAGGCAGGAGATCAGGAGGGGAAAAGGTGCTTGGACAACCCAGAGATCTCTAATTGGGGCTTTACTTCCTAATAATGGATTTCAGTCCCTTATTAAGGAAAGGAGCTGGAAAGGTGTCAGGAGCTGCCTCCCCCCGTGCTGGAAGCTTTGGCTGTGCTTACCCACAAAGTCCCTCTCGCTGACGGCATCCATGCTGTTCAGGCTGATGGAAGCAAAGTCCAGCTCTGCAAGGAAGGGGATGGACACAGGAGCTCACACTGGCCCTGGCAGGAGCCTCAATGCCCCACAGGAGGTGACTTTTTATCTATTCATTACCCTCCACCCCCTTGTTCAAGTGCTGCAACCCATCCAAAATAACATTAGGGCAATGTGCTGATGCTTCCCAAAATCCCAGCTATTATGAGTAGTCATTTTTTATTATTTTTTATTAAAAGGATGACATTTACCACTGCACAGCAGCTCTCTGTCAATTCCCAGGGCGTTTCCAGCCAGAGCTCCACTGCCAGGGCAGAAAGAACCAGAAGTCACCCATGATATCCAAACTGATACCTGACCAAAACTGAGCTCTAGTGATGACACCTCTGAAGGGTTCCCTCCCCAGTTCACTTTGATTTCACAGTGTTGTCTGAGGCTCATCAAACCCTGAACTCTGGACTAAACCAGATTTCCCCCCCCCCCCAAACAGGAAGATTTTCTTAATTGAAGCCTTGATTTTCAAGAAACAGAAAGATATTTCTATGTTGAGAGTCTTTGCAGAGGCAAACTGGGCTGCAGTGTCTATGGAATCCCCAATGGCTCAGGGGATGGACAGATCTGCTTTTTGTCTTTATCTCAGAGCAAAGTGATGGCTGAGGATCACAATAAAAAATAAACTTTACCTTCCCAAAGGCAAGACATTGATCCTCCTCTTCACCTCTCCCAGGCGCTCAGAATCACGGGTCAGAGCAACAGCATGGCTGGGGAAGGACAAGGGAGATGAAGCTGGAAAATGGAAATGAGATATCCCACTCCAGGAGATGAGAATGGCCAAAGGATGGAGAACAGGAGTTGTCCAATCCATGTTTGGATTCCCAGCTGGTCAGAGCCACACAGGGAGTTCCTGTTCCAGTTTGCAGGGCTCCCTCTGGTTTGTCACCAGCCCTGGGTGTCCCTTCAGCAGAGCAGGGCCCCGAGGGTGGGGAGAGTGGGAGGAGCTCACCTGAGCAAGAACTGGCTCCATCGGATGGGCTGAGCTTTCTGCAGGTGGGTGTAGCCAGGCAGGATCACATCGATTTCTCTGGGAGGGGAAGGACAGAGAGGTGAGCAGCAGGGACAGGGACAAGTCTGGAACTCCCTGCACAGGACACCCTGCAGCTGCACAGTCACACAGCAAGCCTAGGACTGTCCTGCCCCAAAAAGGCCAAAGTTATGGAAAACAGGGACTGAGGGAAAGGACTCACATGGCAGCACGTTCCACCAGGGTCTCAGTGAGCCTCAGGAGGTGCGTGGAGATGATGGAAAGGGAATTCCTCATGAACAGCTTCAGGTCAGTCACAACCTGTGGGGGATTGGCCACAGCCAGGCCAAGCACAACAGGACAGATTTAGTGACCAAATACTGCTCAGCAGAGCCCCCTGGCACCATTATCCCTTCCTGGTGCTGTGTGAGGGGAAGGGAAATCTTCCTGTGGGATGCATCCCTGGTCACTGATTTGTGAAAGCTGCTGTTGCTTTCCATGGACAGAACCAAAATCTGTGATTTTCAGTGGACTTTGAAATAGAAAATTCCCAACCAACACAAGTTGATCATCCTGCTCCTGAAAGATGTGTGCACCCAGCCAGCAGAGTCAGGGGTCCTGGAGGTTTTCAGAGATGTCAGTGGAATTTTGTGGCATTTTGTGAGCAGGATGCAGCCCTGCAGATCCCACTCCCCTGGGTGGATGAGCCACTGCAGCATCATTAGTTTAAAGCCATCTTTAATTTAAAGGGAATACAGGCTGGAGTGTGTCGGGGATGAGAGAGATGGCATAAAAATATTCAATTCAAGAACTGAGGTGGAGGAATACAAAACTGGAGGAATACAAAAGGAGAAGAAAAGATTCTGTCCATACCTGATCATTCCTGCTTCTGCCAGTGTGCAGCTTCCCAGCTACGTCTCCAATCAGCTCCTGAGGACAAGAGCAGGGTTTCTGTCAGCATCTCTGTGCTCTGAACAGGACAATGCACAGGAGCACATCTCCCTGCCTGCAAGGGACTCAGCTCCAGGGTCCTGTGAGGAGCCATGGGATGTGCTCTGGGGAAGGGCAGCTTTGGGTTCTGGCCTTGTACAGCCCCAAAAGGGGCTTGGAGACCTTGGCTGTGCCCCAGGGGCTCAGTGCCTGCAGCTCTGAAGGGATTTCCCAGAGGGACAGAGGGACAAGCCCTGAATGTCAGGCAGAGGGTGAGGAAGAAGAGGCTGGAGGAGCCAAACCTTCAGCCTGCGCTCGTTGGCAGTGTGGATGTCCTCATCAGTCTGGATCACAGCAAACACTCCCTTGGACCATTCCTCAGAGATCTGCAAACAGCACAAACACCAGTCAGCCACAGGAGTTATTAAATCCAGGGAGGCTCCTCTCATTCATTCACCTGACAGTTTCTGAAGGAAATAAATACCTTTTCCAGGCCAGCCAGGATCTTCTCTAGCTCAGCTTTAGACAGGATTCCAGCCTTCTCCAAGGCTTTGGCATAAGCCATGCTGCCCTGGATGTCCACCTCAGCCAGCCTCTGGTCATAGCTGATGGAGGCATTGAGCATCTCCATGATGGGATCTGTGCTTCCACTGAATCTTCCACCCCAAAGTTTATTCCCCTGAGAGAGAAAATAGCCAATTAAAGAGGCCTATTTACTCCAGATAAATCCTGTGCAGTAAACAACATCCTGTGGTCCATTTATCTGATACAGAGCCCATGCTCAGCTCCTTTCAGTGTGACAGCACTGACCAGAAAGTCCTCTTGGTTTCAGGACCTCTGGAAGTGGTTGAAGACCTGGAGAACACATCACTGTCAGTGTTATTTACCCCTGAGCTCCAAGGTCTGGCCCAGAAACCCTCCAAGATATTTTACTCTGCTGGGAGTCCTTGAAATTGGTATCAGGGAAAGATGCAAGACCAGCACAGATTTCTGTTTTGAGGCCTTTGAGGTAAAGGAAGGGAAAACTAAGCAGTCAGTAGGATTAAAGTGAAATTAATATCCTCTAAATCCTTTTGGTGCTGTTTATCTAACAGATTCTTCTTTGATTGACAAAGAACTGTGTTTCAGCACTGAAATAAAAGTGGAGTTTTCCCATCCAAGCCAGGATTCCTGTGGTGACCTCAGGCCCTGGAATGTGTCACCCACCTCAGCCAGTGGCCAAAGGCTGTGCAGGGTTCCAGCTGTGCCCCAGCAGGGTGTGTGGGGTGTGTGGGGTGTGTGTTGTGTGGGAGCTTCTCCAGCAGTGATTCAGAGCCTGCCTGGCCTCACCTGAGCTGTGTCAGCTCAGAGGATTTTTTTCTTGCCCAGGTAAGACAACCCAAGAAGTTTTAATTCTGCCAGGCTTGCACTGAAGTGGGTAAGAATTTTACTTGGGCAGAGACAATTTATCCAAGATTTCAAAAGCAACTTTCCAGTGCTACCAGGCACAAAAAGGAATTGGAGGACACCTGAAGGAAGGGACTAAATACAGCAGCATTGCAGAGTGGATAATTACTAATCTACTTGATTTTTTTGAACACCACTGGCAAGTTTCTTCTCATGCTGGTCACTATAACTACCATGGACAGCAAGGAGCTGGCAGGATAGCTGGAAGCTGATCCGTGCCAGGGCTTTACCAGCCAGGCAAAACACTTAAAATGTTTTCCCTGGTGACTGTTTCCATGTCCCTGTGCCTGAAAGGACAACGGGAGAGAGCCTGCAGAGGTGAAGTGTAGCCATGTGTAAAAGGCAGCTTTGTTAGAAAGCTGAGGGAAGGCAGAGAGGGAATCAGAATTTGAAAAAGAAGTGTTAGAGCTCCTCAACTCAATTTGGTGCACCCAGGAGCAAAGTGAATGCTAAATTAGAGGCTGTTCCAGAGGCTCAGCACATGACTGGGGACCAGGAGTATCCAGGTATTTAAAGCTTCCCATCAAAGCAGGGAGGGTGTCAGCAGAAACATTGCAATGTACACATTTACAAAGCTGAAAGGTTCATTTTGGGCATCTCCAGGACTCTGGAGCAGTGGCTGTGCAGCCTGGCAATGACAAACACTGCCTGGAACGTGGAGCAGCGATGTGGAGAGCAGAAAGAGAACTCGCCAGGATGCCGGGTCACGTCTGGGCAGGGAAGGAAACTGAAAACGCAGCTTTTGTGCCGAGCAGTGTTTGTTTACACGAGCTGCTGGGAAGTGCCTGAGCCCCGGGCACAAGGATCGGCCTTTGCCAGGAGACAGAGGCGAGAACGCGGCGGCCCCGGGACGGCTCCGCTCGGCTGAGCACCCCCGACA